CTCCTGAATTCGACACTTCGCTTCGACACGCCCATTTCTTGGGTCCAGAAGTTTCTGTTCTTATCTTACTGGCGGGAACCCTGAATGTCGGGACGCTTTGGCATAACTATGCCATGTTAATAATTACCTAATTGACTGGACTTTTATATAAATAATTTTGAGACTAAACTTACAAACAACCCTATACCTTCCTCTTGTGACTCCGCATAGCAATACGGGACGGATTAGTCCATCTCATTTAATCTATTCTTATAGCTTGGAAAATCCGCCTAAAAACCAGCTATTATTATTTTCCTGATAACTTACTCCTGGAATTCCTACGTTCTTTGGAATGCACTTTGTGCGTTGTTTGAAATATCGATTTTTCTCTTTATACTAGATGCTCAACACATGGCGCCGACAGTTTAAGTGAACTTGTTCAAAAATATTGCTAAATTTCTCCGAAGGACGACGCTACCTCCTTGAAAACTCTTAACTTTCGGTAATTTCTGTTGACTGAAATATTTTACTTTTTGGCCCATCCGTTTCGAGAACTAATAAATAAATTACTACGCGTTCCGGCTTTTGTTACAATTTAAAAAAGATTCACCAAAATCTAGATTAGTTTTGCGTCGACTCTAAGTCATAAATTTACACTAGGTACCTTAAATTGTAGGTAATTTAATTGCCTACGACATAAAATGTCTAATTTTCCGATACGTCGCGTCGTCTAGATTTTCTTGGGCAGTAAAAAAAGTGAAAAAAACAAGTAAATTTGACACAATTTGCCAACTTAGCGTCGCTTCTTTCGAGTTACTTTTTTGATATTATCATTCTGCATACCCTTCCCATCATAAAGGGCAATAAAATGTCTACAAACAATTTTTTCAAGCTTTCTGGCTTTATGATTTAATTCGACTGGAGTATTTGACCCGTCAATGAAAGGATACACCGGAAGAAGTTATGAAAAAGATGTTAATGATAATAATTGCAATAAGTTGTAAAACGACATTTTATTTTCTACAAACAAAATACATATTTACAAACTATCCTGATTAGAAGACGAGTCTAAATATAAATGAGAAAATGACCCATACTGTCCACAACAAAAAGATGACTATTACTGTTTTAGTCAATTGATTTAACCAGTACAGCCTGAAAAAAATCAAATCACAATTTTTGCCACTTCTTAATCTGACAATGTGTATCCTCTACATGCAGTGTGTAATGTGCTGTTCATTTCGCATAGTGTTCGAATATATGTATAAGCACAGACTGTTCCCTTTAAAAGTCGCCACCTTACCTTACTCGAAGCTTCTGTCCAGCTGGGAGCGTCTCTAAGGGGTCCTTCATCAAGTATATCCGCAACCCCAGGGTGTAGTACTCCAAAGATTCCTCCCAGTCAAAATCCTTGACGTCGCAGTAGAAGATCTTCTTGTCCTCGTCGGACATCCTGCCTATAAGTCCCCTCAGTTTTCCAGTTTCGAAAGTCCAGTCGTTCATTTTAAAATAAAGCAGCATCTTCTCTGCTTTGTAAAGTTTCCGATATATATTTCGCATCCTGCAAGGAAAAAAGCAATAATATTGTCCAGGAAATATAGAGTTGGAAGCGACTTTTTGTTTCGGCAAGCTGAATTTATCACTATAGATGCTAAATATTATGTACAATAACGTATTAGTTTCCACAGTCATAAAAATGGGGGAAAATTGTTTACAGAGTGGTTAATTTTTATGTAAATTCAAGTTTTTCGCTTATAACTTTGTTCCGTTCATTTCCACGAGAAAACAGTAACGTACTTTTTTTTTCATCTTCAAAAGACCTACAAAACTAGCTCTCGAGCATCAAAAAATATTGAGTAGATCAAAAGTTATAAACAGAAGAACTTTATTTATGACTTTCGAATTAAACATTTATAAACTGCGTTATTATTACCAAAACGTTTTGGCATCGCATCCTCTCATTCCTTATCACCGTTTAATAACTCACACGAAATCTGGAATCGGTAAGTTGAATAGATTACAAGTTATGACCTTATAAACAAATGAACCAATAATTATTAGTCTGGACGATCCCGAGGATTTTCCACAATCGCATTGACTTTTTTCATGATAGATTTCATAATATGGAATACATTGAAATCTATAATTTTTTATATAATTTCAAATTTGCAGCCTGGAATTTTTTTTTATTTTTAAGCCATAATTGCAAAATGAAATATACGACGCACGCGTGTGATATAGTTATATATTATTACATATTCGGAAAGCTTATGAAAAGAGCTTTAAGTAAAAAAAAATCGTCAAGATTCGTTGAAAAACAACGGAGTTACAGACTGTCAAATATATTACTTTCAAGCGAATTTCCCTTATTGAACGGCAGTACTATGAATATTATCGCCATTTTCTTCGGACTCGCTGTCGTTCGCTTCCCCCACCCTTCCGCCGCGCCACGGCTCGCCAAAAATCAAGCGACCCACTGACTTTTGACAATATTTCTTATGCACTTAACATACTTCCACAAATAAAATATTTTTACCTGGGAAAATACTCGGGTTGTCCGTTAGGACAGTATTTTTTTTTACCGCTACCAATCAAATTTGATTAACAATCGGCCGTCAACTTTGACAGTCTGTAACTCCGTTGTTTTTCAACGAATCTTGACGATTTTTTTAATATATAACTATATCACGC